GAGCATGCTTGTCAGATCTATTGAGCTTTTGTCACCAGTTGACATCATTTATAATGCGAAAAGATCATGGCTAGTTATTAAGCGTTCAGCTGGAGTTTTCAGTCAGGTTTGTGAATCGGGGTTACGATTTTCATCACGAGATGGCATCAGATATAAGCCAGTTCTTTGCTAACTTTGGCTTTCAAGCTTGAGAAACTTAGTGTTGAATTTTAGTGTGAGGGTAAGAAATTGTGAATTTTACCTGACTTCACTCATGGCTGCTCATTGAATAATACGGATTACTTTATCGCTCAATCGGTACGTTTTGCAGCTTAGCTAGAGCAGCATTTTAAATTAACTTTTTGGTCGTACAATAAATATTTTTATCTTTTTAAAACATTTCAAAATCAGTTATTCCCAATTATCCCTTAATTAACAGTAACATATAAGCTATCTACCAGTGTAGCCGTTTACATCAATCCAAAATATACGTTGTGCACTAGGATACTATGAAGAGTAGAGTGAAAAGAAAGAGATGGAAAACCAAACATGAGGAAAAGTGAACCGATGTCTGTTACAGAAGTGAAAACATTTGACTGATTGGAAACTGTTATATTGAATATTAGTAATGTCACTGTAATTTTGAGTATATTTGTTTCATTCAACTTTTGAACATGCTTGCTCTGATCTCTGATCTCAGACATTTTGGTTTCACTTTGCCTTTGGTTTGGTATTTGGGAATTTTTGCTCAGAGAACCTAGAAATTTGAGGGTTTGTTTTGTAATTGTTATAATTATTATTAAAAAGACATCTGAGTCGACTAGTTGTAATTTGCGAATAAACTTTGTTGCCTAAATTAGAATTTGGTTTTATTGTGCCATGCTTCAGTAATGGAAGAGAGCAAAAGCTTGACTACAACGTTGACCCTTTAAGCAAGCAAAATTGACTAACGAAAATTAAGGAAAGCAGCAGACAATTATCAGTAACAGCCTAAGACTTAGGTGAACTCAGTAAATGGAGATTGGATGACGGTAGTTTAAAATGTAGTGTCTAGTGATTATACATACTTACATGACTCACCCTAGCCTCTGAATAGACAGTGATAACTCAGACAGCATATAACTATCGGATAACAACTCTATTGTTTTCATGAAAAATCGTGATCTTCAACACACGTCTTATTTTTATGTCCTAGTTTTCCTAGGCTTATTTGCCTTTTGTTTACTTGTTTATATTGTAGTGACTTTTATCACGAGTACACGATTGGTATAATATAAACAATTATCATTATAACCAACTGTACCAGTGCTTGTTTTAATGTGCTTTTGTTTAACTATGCTAATTACAGCCATTTTGTGCTTCCATTACCTTCCGTCATTGTTTCGCGGTTTTAGGCTTTGTTCGCAAGTACTCCGTTCTCCTGCTTTCGCTTGTACCATCTCTCGGCACGATCTTGGTATTCATACGATACCACGAGATCGCCAATTGAATAAACTTGATTCTAATCCGCCTTCTGATTTCTTTGGCACGTGTTTTCTTGGTAGCGGTGTTCATAGTCAACTGGGACTCGACTCCACGCTACAATATCTATCACCTCTTATTTCATCCAATGCCTGTCTCTTTGTCACATTATTCACCATCAATTTAGAACTATACTAAGGCTTTTAATGAGTAGTAATGTGAGTTAGTATTTTGTCTTTCCTGGTCTGTTTCCTTTCTCATGTCGTCTTTCTGAGACGAGCGTATGAAACATACATATTCGAAATTCATGTTCATATTTAACAATTTTATCCCGTTATTCTCTAAAGTAAACGAAGTCGATAACTGTATACTAGGGTAGCCAGCATGTACATTCTGTTGACATCATCGTTCGATCAAACCGGAGTCAGATCAGTGGGTCACAAAAATCCACCACACTTTGAAGTACTTTATGTAAGGTCCGTTTTTGTAGGATCCTACTTTTTCTTACAAATATTCTGTTTAATTCCTGTTGTGCGTGCATTTTTTAGTCGTTATCTGTACTTTTTGTATATCTGTTACCATTTCCTAGATTACTTGCAGTTGTCATTACCAAATTCTTCAGGAATTCTGAATTCTAACAGTTGATTTGATGTTGCTGAATATTTTAATGACTTTTATCCTGGTTTTCTGTAACGTTGTCTTTATGGCGCTTGTCACATTGGGAGGCCATACTTTGGTTGACATTTTATAAAATGGTTGACTCTGTTGCATGTGCTTAATTTTGAAGCACTTTCTCTGTTTGCTTTACGGACGTTTCCTATTATTAACTGGCTTACTTAATTACGTCTGTTACTCCTCGTGAAGGAGCATGTGCCGCTGACCAGAATTCTCCATCCAACCCTGTCCTAGGCAATCCCTTCCAGCTCCTATTCATCCTTTTCATATCTGATTCTATTTACTGGCGTAATGTGTTCTTTGGTCTTTCACTTTTCCGCTTCCCTTCATGATTCCAAGTTAGGGTTTGTCTCGTGATGCAGTATGACGATTCGTGCAATGTATGTCCTGTCCATTTCCATCGTCTTTTCCTAATTTCGCCTTCATCTGGAAGCTGGTTTGCTCTCTCCCGGAGAAGGCTGTTGCTGATGGTATCCGACCAATGGATGTCGAGTATCTTGCGTAGACAACTATTTATAAATACTTGCACCTTCTTGATGGTGGTTGTAGTAGTTCTCCAAGTTTCGTCTCCGTACAGTAGAACTGCCTTCACGTTGATATGGAAGATTCTGACTTCTGATATTGGTTGAAAGTTGTTTTGAGTTCCATATGTTCTTCAATTGTAAGAATGCGGCCCTTGCTTTGTTAATCCCCGCCTTTACATCTGCAGGTTGCATAAGATGTCATATGAATTTTGATTTATCAACTCAAGACTGTCAGTACAATTTAAACTTGCCAGATTTTACTTCGTATTTGTCGATGATGAATACGCGACATTCTATAATAATAACACAATTATTCACAGGCAATAAAACATAGGTTTATACTCATAAAAATGTCACTGATTCAAGTAGACCTGAAGACATCACTCATTCTTGGCAATATCTCCAGGTTTTATTGTTCAGTTGTGTCAGATTTGGCCAGAGCTGAGAATTTATCAAGCTATTTTAGCAAGATTTACTCTCTTGCTATTGCTAACAACACCGAACCACCGAGATAACAGCTATAGGACCAACACCGTGGATGAGAGGCCTTTTTAATTCCTCGTTAACCTCAGATCTTGTAAGTCAACAGGTCTTGATAGGCTACATCCATGATTACTATCATGTCTGACAGACAACATCTAAGAATCACTGACGATGCTTTTCAACACGTCCCTCTCCCATACTCTTTAAGGGGTAGAAGGGTGGCACAGTTGACCCTATACTTAAGTCTTAGTACTAACCTGTCAGCCTAGCCAGCGTAATTGTTAAGATACCTGGAAAAAAATATTTCAGTTTATTAAGTCACGTATGATCATGAAATCTGTCAAACTTCCGAGCAGCACGAGTCTCGGAATAAGCATTCTATTCTTAAAAAAACTTACTAATTGCAAGAGATAATTGAACAGAAGCCCAAAATAACAGGATTTTTTTCGATGAGACATTCATTGGTTTTAGTAAAACATTTTATAAAGTTTCTCACTATGGGCTTATGCAGTAGCTTTCAAGCTTTGAAATAACAGATCCATCACAAGAGTGAGCAAGAGAATTCCTCTGTGGTTGAAGACAGTATGGGGTAAACGGGACACTATCTGACTGAAAGTTAGTCAGTGGTAGTGTACCCCAGGAAACCATCTTGAGTCCCCTATCTTCTCTATGTCATTTAACTACCAAGACTATTGAATTTGTCAACAATTTTGTTTACAGACAGTGTCAAAATCTAGAGAATAATAAGTGATGAGCTTGATCATCATGATCTCTACTCTGATCTAGATAAATTAGCCAGATGGTCCTAAAGTTGGGACTTGAAAAAGTATGCTTATGCACATCGGACACGGTAGCGGTTACTAGTATACTACCGATGGTACATTGTTTACACGAGTACAGGAACAAAAGACCTTGGAAGTAACAGAAATCATGGCTTAAAATAAGTAGCAAAGTGTAGTGAGATAGCCTACAAAGATTTTCGAGTGTTATGGTAACTTACTATCGATGCTATCCCTCTGGAGTGTGCCAGGCGTGTCAGATTTAATTTAGTGACAAGTCGTTACAAACCGCCATACTATGAGTTCTTCAAATGCCTAAACCTCTACATTCTATGTTATCGCAGAATGCGAGATGACTTTAAATTGACATTCGCTATCTTTCATAACGGTTTGTGCGTTAACATGTCCTATATTTCTGCTCCATCTAGAACTAACCATCTCTGAAGCAACGGAAAGAAGTTATGAAACCATGCTCTAATAAATCCATGGTGGGATTTCATTTTCTCGCCGAATAGTTAATATTTAGAATCATGCCGGTCACTTTCTTGGAGAAACTGGATTATCACCAGGAAAAAATCACCAAACGTTAACACATCCATGTCGACCTACAATCCGTATTGCTGAAGACTAGAGAATAAAGACTTCCTTATTCTGTATCAGAAGTTTAAGACAATTTAGTACTGACTATCACTGATTTCATAACAACGATAAGATGAAACAAACAACTCATAGAAATATCATTTGGAAAGCACAAAAAAAACCGGACAAATCAACACCAAAATTGCGACTAAATCATTCCGGTTTGCCGTTGTAAATTGGCACTAAATTGCTTGAAAGTTGAAAATTGTTTTAAATAGTGCGGCCGAATACATAGCTCGCAGTTTGGTCCCCACTTTTCTCATTTTCTCATGTATGTGGATTTTGTATATTATGTACTAAGATCGTTCTGTGCACCCTAAGTGCAGTACCACTAACAAATATTTTGACTGCTGCAAACGGGAATTACTCACTCTTTCCCTGTAGTTTTTTGCTCTTCACTGTGGTTCATGTGAAACTGGGTTGTTTAGCATGTTTTAGTTTGTCCAAGGACTGATGGTAAATGGAGACGGTTTTTTCGGTAAGCTACTTCATTTGCTCTTTTTAATGGTGATTTGTTATTACACATGTTAAATGTTATTATCAAACCTGCATTTACTTATAACCCCACACAACAATCGTCATTTTAGGTTCACTATGTTTAAGACTTCTCATAAGCTGTCAAGTGTATCTCAAAACCTCTACTGCGATTCTGTGCTTGACTGGCAGGAGGACATTTTGCTCCAAGATTAGGCTCCTTCCCATTTGTAGAACATCATTTCGTCCTGCCGATACGTGTTGGGCGTAACAGATGTAGACGTTTTCCAGTGTTTATCAGTCTTAGCCTCTCTTTGTTAACATTTGATTATCAAGGCTCTACATATAGATTTTTTGGTACTTTTTAAATTTGTTACTATCCCTACTAAAAATACTACTCAGCAACTTATCCACTGCTGCCTTGAAATGGTTTGTTATCTAATTTAACCATAACGTCAACTCACGTGTTATCAAAAATCATCTATCATTGTCTACTTAAGAGTTAAAGGTTGCACTAGTCAACGGATCTAGGTGTTATACATGTATTGTGCGTGGAAAATACTTTGACTGAACTTCACATAAGCATGTTTTAGTAGGCCATACTTTAGTGTTAGTACCAGCTGTCTATCATTTAATGACAGGAAATATTTCGCTGTGCTTACCGCGAAAAAACCTTATGTCCACGTGACGAGTGCAGTATATCCTTAATTACATCGATGTCGACTTCGTAGCTTGAATATATTCGTCCATACACAATGAGTGAATTAAACAACTGGTAGTAATCACTACTTAGTCTATCATCGTACCGAAGTCACCAGTAAACCTGCTTAAAATACTACTGTTTTTTCTTCCATTTCTTTGTCTCAATTGATTTTCTTCATAATTATCTCGCTTATCAGACGTTACTACACCATTATCAAACATCTTGACATTTTTCTTATGATGAGTAACATCAGTAGGTTTAGTAAGTTGAAACTGAATGATCGCTCATAATCACCAACTTGCAGTCTACACAAGTCATAGACCATGTTTCATATTCACAATGTAATGTGAAGTGATTTGTTCCACATTGTACTGTACTGCCTTGTGGATCAGACCTTCAGATCGAAGGCTCCGGGTGTGGTCCCCTAAGAAAACCACTTGCTTCGGTTTGGGAACCCGGGCTGTATAATAGCCCACACACAAATCAAGTGACTTGTATAGCGCATATGTGTTCGGTGCCTCCTTGTACCAATTTTTGTGTTAAAACAAATAAATAAATAAAATAGGTCGTCCTATTTAAAACTAACTTGAACTAGGCCCAGTCACTGACTTGAAAAGTAATTTTAAATGCTATGTATTCGGTCCATTAATCTATTTCTACCTTCTCTCTCTTAATTTTACGTTTTTTGTTAAGTTTGTTTCTTAAGGTATCTTAAGTTTTTCCATTAGTCATGTGAACAATTGATGACATCGAACAGCAAATATCTTTCAGATACCTTCATATGAATTCAATATCACAGTTGGTTTGGAATATTTTTGTCAAGTATGCTACGATAATACCTTAATACGACAATAAAACTAGTCACGTTATATTACATCCAGTATTCGCAACCTAGAATAGTGTCAGATTAACACTAGATAATACTTCATCCAAGGAGTCACTCTCAGTGTTTAAATAAATAAATAAACGGATAGACATCTCGCTTCACAAGCGGCTCAAGACATTTTAATCGAACACTGTTGGCCATATAACAGGTTATGGAGGACTACCAATTGTATATCTCAATTAATGAGTAACAGTTTTCTTCACCACTTATTAGATTTTATGGTAGATGTCTTTGTAAAAATAAAACTTCCCAGAGACCAATCTAACAAATTTGCATCGAATTTAAATACTCAGGTGACAGTATTATTTGATAAAAATGGTCACGAAATGCAGAGTTTTTTGGTAGCGCTGAGTAATAATAAAAGGATATTTTAAATGCATTTCTTTCCCCCCAAATATTGCTTTTGCACATGTCTGCGTCACAGCCTAGACTGATCTCAGAAGTTAAGTAGTTGAGTGCACTAGTTACTTGATTTCACCGGTCTTAGTGAGTCTGGGTCTGATGAAATCTTACACATTTGGTAAAGCCTTACAGCAAAGGTTCTCGATCGAGAGGGTTGGAGGTCACATTTAGGTCAGGGAATAATGTTCAAATCAAGAGTTAGTGCACATGTATTCTAAAACCTGCTATAGGGTAAAGTTTCAAACAGCAGATGCGCACAGTGGTCTGAAACCAGCTTAGTTTTTGTTTGGCTTGTTGTCCATAAACTTCATTCTGGCGTTTGCTTATCATGTAGGCTAAAATTTTAACGTATAGCTTATTCCTCAATATTCATCAAAAGTTTGATCATTTTTAAGAGTGTGTTGGCCGGTGGTCGAAATCAAGTTTAAAAGTAAGTATTGAAAGTCATTACCACGTACTTGCACATAAGGAACTAACCGAATCAAATGAAGCAGGGTCGGTACCTGGGACTTAGATGGGACTACATCCAGTTCCCAAACTGTGTAGTATCTCTCTTGACTTAACTTCTGAGTCTCTATGATCCCACTTTGCTGTCAACTTATCGGTTCATACTGCTCTCCCTCGCTCCATAGTAGACATGAGCTTTTCAATCTCTGAAAGTTAGTGGGCATGTATCAATCCCCACTGATAGTCAATCACAATGTCGTCTTTTTTGGGATAGTCTCAATGCCTATTTGTTTTATGAGTTTGAACAGTTATCTAGCGTTATCTATGTCCAATTCTTTTTCTATCTCGCTTTTTTCCCCACTCAAACTTATTTATTCGTGTGAAAGTCATTTCCTCTCCTCTTCTTTCTTCGAACTCGCTGAGCGAGTGTTTAAGTACCATTTAAATTAGTAAAGGCTTCTGACACTCGTTGATCTTTTGGTTCAAATCACTGCTGCTTTTACAGTTGATTGGAAATGGTGTCAGGCTATCTCAGGATAAAAAAGTTATGAAGTAGGGTTTTAATCAGTGTGCTAATAAATTTCCAATCGTTAAAATGAACAAAAAGAATTTTCAATAGATGGTAATGTGTGTCTAAGTGTTTGCTGCTCATCAGAATTTTTGAAGTAAACTTAAATTATTTGACTTCAAAGACAAAACTACTTACCAGAGGAAAAGATTTATTTAATAAAATGACATGCTTATATGCAAATTAACACAAAATAATAAAATGTCATGAGCAGTTGAGAGAAATCAGTTTGCACGTCACTTTTCAATCACTTGGCACCTGATTTTTGAGCATGTTTTTAGTCTTACCTTAAACTTATTTAATGTACTCAATTTTAGTCTTTGGAATCCATGTTTTTGTTTGTTTTATCATCTTCAACTGTCATATTGGCATTTTCTCACCACCGTCCCCCTTAAACCCAGCCTTTGTCGCACAACTTAATCCATAGCGATATGAGCGAATGAAGTGCGTGATGTAACTGAAGACGTTATTGGTCCTCATGAGATCGCTTATTATGTGGCTTGCGGAGGTTGGTATGGCGTATGTGGTGTGGTTTCAGCCGAGACCTCAATCGCAGATTCTGAACTTGAAATTCAAGAATTTCCATTAATGTCATTGTATCGTTGCTAATGCTAGATCAGGAATAAACGGTTGTATAAGCACATTTGAATGAAGTGGCCTCCAAATGCCCTGGTACGGCCGATAATGGGGAGAGTCCGCTCTCCCTCTCGAAATTCTCATATGGCCACGTGTATACAGCCACTACCACGGAAGTCCTAATCACTGCCTTCTCGTGGCATTACTGTTGTTTACGAAATTGAAAGGACGAAAAGCGAATGTCCGGCACCTTAACCGGGTTGGTGGACATGGAGAGTTCATCTAGGGGAGTTGAAAAACCGTGATTCCAAACGAATGGACACATGGGCTCCAGTATCCTGAAGGAACAAATGGCGTATGAACCAATCGTTGTTCACCGGCTACCATCGGACTGCATCTCCTTACGATGCTCTAATGCCTTGTTGATCAGACCTTCAGATCGAAGGCTCCGGGTGTGGTCCCCTAAGAAAACCACTTGCTTCGGTTTGGGAACCCGGGCTGTATAATAGCCCACACACAAATCAAGTGACTTGTATAGCGCATATGTGTTCGGTGCCTCCTTGTACCAATTTTTGTGTTAAAATAAATAATTTGAATGAAGTGGTTGCTATTATCTGCTCAGCAGGCTGGGACTCAAAAAGGCTCCCAATCGTGTTTTAGCTTCATTTACCTTATATACTTCGGGGTTGAAGCCACGAGCTACGATTACCACATGTGAGTATAGCTTTCTTTAAGATATGAGAAAGCTTTTTTCAAACTCATCTTTTGATTAGTATGGGCTGCAGTCAGTGGGGGACAGGTAGAAATGGAAAAAACGCAACGAGCTTATCTACATCTTTATTAGTTTTTACTGTATCATTTAACCAAACTGCACATAAGCGACTGTCGTTAAGATTCCACTTTCATGTGAATAATATGTATGAACGTCACTAAATTCATGGATTTTAAGTTGGAACTTCGTTGGCACACATCACTATTAACTACTTTCCAAAATATTAAGCAAATCTGAACCTATCCATTTGAAGGTTTCACAACAGAGTTCATTCGAATCTTGGTGGAGATATATTCTTAACATTACTCAACATTAATAAGAGTAGTAATATGCTTGTAATATTTCATTGAAGGTTGAATCTCGGACATTTTGCGGCTGCATATCGATTCTTTAGAGGACAAATAAATAATCAAATTTTTTCTCTGAAGAATCAACGTACAATAAGCCACGAAACATCAGTATTTCTATTTCCCACTCATTTGGATGTTACAGATAAGTCATCGTCTTTATTATTTACAATCTATCCAATGCTAAATTCATTTGGTAGTGCTAAATCAAACCTTGATGATGATATATAGATCCATTAATGTTTTTTCGTTATCTCTAAACGAAGTGCAACAGTTGACAATATACATCAAATAAAAGATAAATCTTATCACCAACTAAATTTGCTTGTCAGATATTGTGGTTCTAGCTGTTGACTTTACTACACAGTTCGAGTCCCTGGTCGTTTATGTAATAATTAAATACCCGTTTTTTAGGTCGAATAGTAAGGATCGTATTTCTACGTTTGCATATCATAGTATACTTGTGAACAGTCCTTGGTACGTCCGTGCACTGTGCCAGTAATTCGTGACTTCGTCTTCAATACCGTGAACGAAATTATTCCATTGTCTTTTCCCTATCCTACCAATTAAAGGCATTAGTTTGGAGAAACAACTTTTCGTTAACTCAGTGTAATCAATTCGAAAGCACTAAGTTTGTCGACTACATACCAATAAAAAAGGATTAGAATATTTAGACTGTTTGCCAAAGAAACAGAATATCGTAAAAAATGTACTGAAATTTCGTGAATAGTGTTCACATTGACTGATTTACTATGCCAGAATTTCAACCTAACTGACACTGATTTGTTTTTCGTAAGTTGGGATATGAGTTCGTGTTCATAACAACCTAATTTCCGGTGCCGATTTGAGATGTAGCATTCTCCTGAAGTTCAAAATTTAAATATGTCAGATTGCTACCAGCCGTCAATGCTGCATGTATATACAGGAGTATAATTTTGTTGTTTGCATATCCGGGTTCTAATCATCCACTAACGTTCTCAAAACACTTTTTTTGGGTCACTTACTTTTCGTTGTAAGCGAATACGAAGCTGTTAGTGCGAACATCGTGAAGAAAAACGAAACCATGATCCGCCTTAGCACTAGATAGATTAAACGTTATTATTATTGATGGCTTTATTCAATATTATATTTTGGTACAGAAGTGTCTAGCTCACCCCCAGTTATTCTTCATTGACTATTACTCAATACTTAGAGTAAAAAGTTAACATCAGCCCCCAACTCATGGAGAAGTCTAAGTTGGATAAGCTACGTATCAGGCCTAGAAACTACTTTCCCTATTTAGTTTTGGGATGTACAAACTAGTGAGATTAACAGTTTAGTCATATAACTTTCCACAAATTGATTTTCATTCTGTAAGCTCACACAAGATAAAATTATTGGCAAGTGCTTCGTCAAAATACGTCTTTTTTTGCCTGTCCTGAGCAATGTAAAAATATCTGGGGTTTATTTTCCCCTAAATACGCGAATACAATCTGGCTACAGAAAATAAACCAACTGAGAGCGTTTTGTGCGTCTCATTACCCGTGGTTAGTTGATGATTAACAAAACCTTGATAGGAAGAGAATTAGTTCGGCTTTGTTAACTTTGTTCATCTGTGGTTCATCCTAGACCTACTGCTAGAAATAACGTCTTCGTCGGGAATCGATTTCCTATCAGGAGGTCCACTTATTGACTTAGAAAACAAAGATGATATAGTCCCGCTTGGTAAAGTAGTCTAATGCATCGATAACTTCACTTATCTTGGAAGTCTGACCAGCGCTAATGGTTTGGTGTCGGACGAAATCTCAGCACGGATTCAAAAAGCTCGTTTGGCTTTTACCAACGTACGTCACTTACGCGAAGTCAAAATATTCGTCTATTAATTGAGGGACGAGTATACTGTGTGACAGTTCGTCCCGTTCTACTTTACGACTACGAAACGTGGCCATTAAGAGCAGAAGATACTCGTAAGCTACTAGTATTTGACGACAGATGTCTTAGAAATATTGCTCGCATCACGGGTAAGTAAAAGTGAGGTTGGACGCAGGGTATTAGGAAATGATAGTAAATCAGTTGATGAAGTAGTGAATCTTCATCGACTGAGATGGTTGGGCCACGTGTCGCGTATGCCTGAACTCCGATTACCACGACGTGTAATGCTGACTAGTGTTGAGGATGGTTGGAAGAAATTTAGGGGTGGGCAAACTACAACGTGGCATCAATCCTTGAGGTCACTAACTCCTGGTCTGAATCGTGTTGGTAGATGCAGACTACTTGTTTGGGGTTCGCGCGACTATCGTAACCAATGATTAGAGATTCTGGGTAGCATAGCTCAGAGTCAATCACAATGGTGTAGGTGTATACACTCTCTGTCTTCCGTTGAACTGTGAGATGAAAGTTGCTTTTTTATCTTTCTTTCTCCCAATTAATTCTTTCTTCTTGTACTATATCCTTATGCACAATCTTTCTTTTATATATTACTACCATTGAAGTAACTTCATCTTGTTGTGCTAATGAGGTGGGGGGATTTGAAATGATGCATATATGTACCTGGTCCTACTTTGTAAATAATTGACTGACAGATGTAGACGTATGCCTTGTAAAGTGCGTACAGTTCTTGGTTTATTCCATTTGCTTTATATTGTAGTATGGAATCACGATCTCGATATGTAGAGGATATATGTAAAAATTAGTATTTAATTGTGGTCATATAAAAATATTGATGGTGTATTCTAAAACTGCTGAGTTAATGTTACGGAGATTATTTTGAGGGTACTTACTAAAATTCGGAAATCGGTTGGTAAGGTTGTGATGGTTAGATGACTTGTCAAACGTATTCACTCCATAAAGTCATTAATAATTAGTCTTAGTCGTTTGCGGGTGTGCAAACATCCAGTTTGAAGTTCAGATAATACTCATAATCGATGGTGGGATACATTGTATGACATTGTTTAAAATCAGTTACAATGACTCACATGTATGTATATTTTTATTTTACCTACCAATCTTTAATTTTGCTATTGTTTCATATATTTTGTTTCTTGGTTTGATTTTCTGTTCTCCAAAAGATATTGTTTTCATCTAGTATTTTACAATCATTGATATTTCTAATGTTTGGTTTTCATCGTTGTTTCCCTTTACCGTGTTGATATTAACTGCATAACGGATATACGTGCTCCTTTTTCTAATCTGTTAAATATTAAGCAATGGCATATTATCAATTTATGGATCTCGATGTTTATTTGCGTGTACCCGCGCCCAGGTAGTAAGGGTTTTATTACATTTTTTTTTACATAGTTATGAAAATTTTTAATATTTTTGTACGATTGTTGCTTACATATGTTGTTTGACCAGATTCCCTCACCCAAATTTTTTGATGTTGTCTTGTACCTCAGAACAAAATTTGTTATATATGTGTTAAGTTTAGTAGAACTTAAAATATTACTCCTAGTTGGGTTGTTCGTTTAGATACAAATACTGAAATAAACGTAAGTTGTACGTTTTCCCTCCGTTAAATTAGTTAATTTTAAGTATTTTGAACCGCTTTTCTCTACTCAAAGTTCTAACCAACTTAAAAATTTTCACAGGTGCCCACCTCTATTTCCGTCACTGAAAGTGGCGTTACAAATACCGTCCACATTGATGTCAATATTGGGTCTGTTCAGCCGGGTTCTTCAAAATATTCACACCCAACATCTTTGGGAATTACCTGTTCAGAACATGCTTCCAATGTCTTGGACGACCTCACACCGTCCCTCTCTTTGACCACAATAGCGCCTGGGAATTCTTCAAATCGTTTGTTGCCGTTCACAGACGATCTTGGTTTATGCATTAAACACTCTCCTGATGTGTCACCCTTAGTCGATGATGACGAAGATGTACGTTCACTCCTAGCAGCAGCAGCCGCTGTTGCGGCTGCCGACTCCAGGGTTCATCAAGGTTCACCGTCAGTTCGTTCTTCTTCTGGACTTAACACTCCACCTGATTCAAGAAGTAGTCGACTTATGGACACAATCACTTGCAGACCAATGTCAGTTGGTGTTTGCGATCAAACTCAGGTCATTCACTCAATAAATAGTGTTCCTATGTTAGTTTCGAATCATAGTTTGTCAAGAACGCCCTATGCACATAGCGATGACCCTCTTGCAATCCTAATCCCAACACACACAACACAGTCTGTGTCTACTAATTATTTGTTATCCTCCAGTGTTTCTACTCCATGCAGCTCTCCTCTAACATTCCGATCTCATTCCCCTATTCGGACACATTTAGATGGTAGACATACGTCCGATATGCTTCACCATAGTTTATCCTGCGAATCTCATTCTATCGAGAATGAACGTACAAATTCTTCTCTCTCATCAGTTTCTCACTTCCCCCACCAAATACACCGCCTGTGCATATGGACAGTTATATAACTCGTCAAAATCATGACGATCAGGTTTTTAATTCAACTCTTTTACTTCTAAAGGATACAGTTCATACTTCATGTGTGCCACTAAGCTCTCCTAAAATAATTTCAGAATGCAACTCATCTGGCCATACTACCATATCCTCGTGTTTACCAATTGGTGAACATACCGCAACAACCGTTCTCAGCCCTGTTGTTGTATCAAAGGAGTATACTGTCTGCTCATCAGCGAATGTAACAGATGTATCGGATAATCTTACAAATAACTGGACAAATACTACTACTTGTGAACCAAATATTCAGGCAGCAAAAGAATGTGCAATTACGGATGACAATTTCGATTCTGTATCTAAAGCGACAGACGAAAATTTAATGGATTTAGAGCAAGTTATTTCATCACACTCAGCTTCATTACCAGCTGTTGACGATGAGTACTTTTTAAAAACTTCCGACAATTTTCATGTCGATACAGTAGTGAACATTGACCTTAGATGTATTTCTCATTCAGACAAAATTCCTTCTTCAACAGATAGTGGCGAGTTAGTGTCTTCGAAAACATCTGCCATGTGTTCTGCCGAACCAGATTTCCCTGATGTTTACGTTGATGTTTCTGACGTAAACGATAATACGAATTCTGTGATACTACCACACGAGTCATCAATTAGTGTCAAAGCAACAACAACTCAGTTCTCCGCAAATACGAAACTTATATCTTCTGTAGTGGCGTCTGCCGAGAGTTCTATTGACATCGAGTGTGAAACAGAGATTCAGAAAGATGATTGTTTCATTCAGTCTGCTGATGACGATAAGAAGTTTAAGACAGCTACATCTGTCTCCCCTTTAGTAGAAGACTCCACATTCAAAGAGCCATGTGAATCTGAAAGTTCTCCACTTACTAAGGCTTCTATAATTTCTGAGTCACCAACAAAAGATGATGCTCAGACTAAGATCAGTAATCAAGATCGAAATTTACTCCTCACACTGGAGCACCATAATGATAGTTTAGAAGATCCAGTTGAACCCAGTGGGCATTCTCCTTCTATTCATTCATCTCATAGAGAAGACGATGAAAAAGTGTATAACGATGCTGATTATGCGGCCGCTGCAGTTGCTGCTGTTGATGATGTGGTGTATGCACTAGCTGGTAATCGTAAACCTGATCCATCTTTAACTCTTGACCCGGCCTTAGAAGGCACAGGAACAGATCGTCTGTATAGTTTAAGCTTAGCTCCAGTTCATAATGAATTTAGTAATTCACAGATGAATATTTCTAATTCCGACTTGTGCAACACAAGCTTTGTGAATACTAACAAAAACTCAGTGAGTTAATTGGATTTAAATTTTGATGCTAAATGTTATTGAACTTTTTGGATATCCTTTGTGTTGAGTTTAAGTTCTTTTTTCAAAACGAAGTAGTAGCATATAAAATTCTTCGTATTTATATGATCTTGTTTCCTATGCTTCAGATTTCGTTTTGTATTTGTGCTCATTTTCCTCACTTAAGGAATAGAACTTTTACAGTTACATAAAATTACTTCATGGTTACAATCTAGTCTTCAGAGGCACTAATAAGCATATGATATTACCAAATATCACTAATTTATTTCAAACTGGTTCTGTTAACACCAAGCATTGAAAAATATACATCGGGGTCTGGAATTCGCTGTGGTTCTAAATACTTTGGTACAACAATTGCGAAGTTTTCCAAAAAGTAAAAAACTCCAGTAGTCGAAGCCACGTCCACTGATTCGAGAGTGGATTATGCACTTTTAAACAACTTGTTGCTCCAGGACTAGTCTGCATCAACACCTGAACTAAGAATAGGGAGTGAAGTAGTCGAATGCATCGATAACTTCACTTATCTTGGAAGTCTGACCAGCGCTAATGGTTTGGTGTCGGACGAAATCTCAGCACGGATTCAAAAAGCTCGTTTGGCTTTTACCAACGTACGTCACTTACGGCGAAGTCAAAATATTCGTCTATTAATTGAGGGACGAGTATACTGTGTGACAGTTCGTCCCGTTCTACTTTACGACTACGAAACGTGGCCATTAAGAGCAGAAGATACTCGTAAGCTACTAGTATTTGACGACAGATGTCTTAGAAATATTGCTCGCATCACCGGGTAAGTAAAAGTGAGGTTGGACGCAGGGTATTAGGAAATGATAGTAAATCAGTTGATGAAGTAGTGAATCTTCATCGACTGAGATGGTTGGGCCACGTGTCGCGTATGCCTGAACTCCGATTACCACGACGTGTAATGCTGACTAGTGTTGAGGATGGTTGGAAGAAATTTAGGGGTGGGCAAACTACAACGTGGCATCAATCCTTGAGGTCACTAACTCCTGGTCTGAATCGTGTTGGTAGATGCAGACTACTTGTTTGGGGTTCGCGCGACTATCGTAACCAATGATTAGAGATTCTGGGTAGCATAGCTCAGAGTCAATCACAATGGTGTAGGTGTATACACTCTCTGTCTTCCCTTGAACTGTGAGATGAAAGTTGCTTTTTTATCTTTCTTTCTCCCAATTAATTCTTTCTTCTTGTACTATATCCTTATGCACAATCTTTCTTTTATATATTACTACCATTGAAGTAACTTCATCTTGTTGTGCTAATGAGGTGGGGGGATTTGAAATGATGCATATATGTGCTTCGTCATACGTTGTAACTGAGTGACGAAATTATAACCTTCAGATGCCCTAGTACTGCCTAGGGTGGCAAGAGTCCACTCTTCCTCTGGAAACGCCCTTACGTCGTCACGCGTATACAGCCACTATCACGGAAGTCCTACAAACTGTCTCCTCGCGAAGGGGTGTTGTTTACGAATTTGACAGGACGAAAAACGGCAGCCCATCGCTTTAACAGGGTAGGTGGATATGGAGGATTTACCGAGAGGAGTTGGAAAGTCCTGATTCCAGACGAATGTTACACATGGGCTGCAGGATCCTGAAGGAACAAACGGCGTATTAACCAATCGTTGGTGAGCGGCTGCCATCGAACTGCATCTCCTTATGATGCTCTTCTGTCTTGTGGATCAGACCTTTATATCGAAGGCTCCGGGTGTGGGGTTCCCTAAGAAAACTACGTGCTTCGGTGTGGATGCATGAGTACTATCAAAGCCCTTACACAAATTGAATGATCTGTGTGGAACATATCCATCTGGTGCCTCCTTGTGCCAATGTTTATTGTTGATTATGAATATAGTGGTCTTGAGTGCTGTTAGAGGTATGACGGCAGTTTTCACTTCCCGGTCGCCCATACCATGAAAGGGTTCTTCTCGAAGTACCTGAAAAGGAAATCGGATTATAGGTAGTCTTAGTGACCTGCTTCCGTCATTCTTCGTAGGCTGTTCAAAACCCGAGAAAGATTGACTCGCGAGGAGCAGGCTGGGTTTCGTTCTGGTCGAGGATGTATTGATCATATCTTCACCCTCCGCCAAATGTTAGAACACCGCCATACTTATCAAAGGCCAACAATCGTAGTGTTTCTTGACATCAGGGCTGCCTTCGATTCGTTGGACAGGACTGTTCTCTGGGATTGTCTATTGAAGAAGGGTGTGCCTGAGAAGTTTATTAACATCCTAAACGCCCTATATACAAACACCTCAGGCAGAGTGAGGGCATACAACCACCTCTCTCCATTGTTCCATTCGAGCAGTGGGGTTAGGCAGGGTTGCCCAATCTCACCATTCCTCTTCAACTTTGCCATCGATGACATTCTGGAAACAGCTCTGATGAATGTAAGTAATGGTGGTGTGGATCTGTTGCCTGGAGAAAGACTTCTCGACCTTGAGTATGCGGACGATATTGTCTTACTGTGCGATAATGCCCAAGGCATGCAATCCGCACTTAATCAGTTGGCAATCAGTGTCCGTAGGTATGGTATGTGCTTTGCACCTTCGAAGTGCAAAGTACTTCTACAAGACTGGCAGGATTCTAATCCTGTACTCACCCTGGATGGTGAGCAGATAGACGTAGTTGAGAAGTTCGTGTATCTGGGTAGCTGCATAAGTGCTGGTGGGGGTGTGAGTGATGAGATCAATGCACGAATAGTGAAAGCCAGAGCGGCTTATGCCAATCTGGGCCACCTTTGGCGCCTTCGTGATGTTAGTCTGGCTGTAAAAGGTCGGATCTACAACGCGTCGGTGAGAGCAGTTTTGCTCTATGCTTGTGAAACCTGGCCTCTCCGAGTTGAGGACGTTAGACGACTCTCTGTGTTCGATCATCGCTGTCTCCGAAGGATTGCTGACATCCAGTGGCAACACCATGTCAGTAATGCAGAGGTTCGGCATCGTGTGTTCGGGCACAGAGATGATAATCCGATTGGTGTCACCATCTTGAAACACCGACTTCGGTGGCTTGGACATGTTCTCCGAATGTCGTCCCAGAGAATTCCACGTCGTGCATTATTTGCCGACTCTGGGACTGGTTGGAAGAAGCGGAGAGGTGGTCAGTGCATGACATGGTGTCGTGGCATGAAAGAAAGCTGCAAAGGACTGGCTTGTGTTGGTCCTTCACGACTCCCTGGTTGGGGTCTGAGAGATGGTGCTACACAGTGGCTAGAGACGTTATCAGATATGGCTCAGAATAGAAGCCAGTGGCGATCCTGCTGTAACCTTCTTTTACTTTCTTCATAAAAAGTGGTTGTGTCTCCTTTACCTGAAAGATTTCTTCTGATTGTACCTTTTCGTTCCGTCGTTACTACCACACTACCTTACTCCAATCTCTTCGTCATTGTTCTCTTTTTCTTTTGCGCTCCTTAGTTTTTTTTTCTTC